TAATACAGTCGATAAATAAGCAAAATCAAACCATAACTTCGAGTGATACAAACATGATCATTACGCAATACCCGTTATTTAACTCACTAGATAATAAAAAACATTACGGAAGCCGTAATACATTAGAGATATAAGTTTCAATAACTTGTTTTCATACGAGATGCGGCTCTGAAATTTTATGAGTCTGCACTTGCATAGGGAACAGAGCGAGTAAAATAAAAATGCTGAGTCGGAAGAAATAAACGAAAGTATGCATTATTATGATGACGATTTCGAACAGAACTTTTAGATTTCTCTGGAGAATTTACTCTGTTAAATGGCTGCGATGCCAGTTTTTAAACTGTAATATTAAAACAAAAATAAATTTATGTGTTACACATTTTGGATTTTAATTATAAGTTAATTAATCGAAGTTTAATAAATGTGTCGATTACTTTAGTAGTGAGAAGCATAATGTAAAATACATAGAGATTCCTCATGTACGCACTTCCTCTACACAAACGGAACATAAACACAAAAATATACCTATCATTATTTTTCAACTAGTAATACGGTGGGCAGAATAATGAGAGCGCGTTTTTGGAAAATCCTTCAGCTTTTTCACAATAATGGAATTTTAACCAAGTTCTTTCTCTTGACTGGGACAATGATTAAATGGAATTTTTCATGTTGTGTGATACTTCATCGGAATGATGTTGATAGTATAAAGAATGGTCTCTCTATGAACGAAATATAGTTTACAAATCAATCAAAGAGATAATAAATAGTATTAAAGGTACCTTGATTTTAGTCTCAGGTAAAAGATTCAGCAAAAAGGTGAATTTGGTCAATAGTTTAATTAATGAGTGTTGATCGATGTCGATTTTCGCTGTGTAGTAATTCAGTTTTAACATAACCACAATCTGTTACTGAACTAGCACAGTTAGTATAAATGTAACGTAAAATTTAAACAAATTATTTTGTTTCATAAAGATCTACGACAAGTAAGACATGTCTTAGGCTCCAAATGAGACTTTATATTTACTATAAATCAAGCACCGGTTTACATAACAGCTCAATCGGTACGGCCAGCTTGAGTATGGCCACGGCCTCACAGAAGAGTGAAAATTTAAAATATCTTTACCTTTTCGTTTCGTCCTGCGAGTAAAGTAACCAGAGGCCCATGTTCTTAGTAGTTGGCAACTCGCCTGCAACATCTCTGGTGCTGTGTGTCTACGGGCGGCGATCCTCGCTTAAAACTGTTGAACCAATCGGATTCCATTCATTTCTAAGAAAAATGATATTTACATGGATTTGCATTATACTTCAAATTATATTTAAAGTAAATGAGATCCTTATATCTGATTATACGAATTAACGTTATGATGATCAAGATATGGGAACGGAGGATGAAAAGATCTAGATTGGTAAAGCAAATAATTACAGCATAAACCCATTATATTAAAATATATTACTCTAACAAATTATAATATAAGTATTATTGCCGTTTCCACGCCTATATATAAATGGTTCATTAAAATATGTATAATGTAAGTAGAAATGAATCGGAGTGTTTTCACTTAATATAAATAATTAGGCCTAGTAAGAAATGACCAGGCTAACACATAACATTAAATCTTGAATTTACATATATTGCAATATTAAAGTAGAATATGTATAATTGACTTGTAGATTGAGACGTGTATGTGGGAAATTAGGTAATATTACATTTACAACAGGGGATGATTTGAGGACTGCACAATTTAATGATATTTCTCATGCTTGATCAGAAATTTCGAATTTCAACGAAGTTAGTTAAGTGTAAAAACTAAGTTAAAGTGTTAAGATCTCAATCTGCACTCTAAACCTCTTAAATAGCGATATGATTGTCTAAGAAATTAAGCGATATCTTCTTTTTAAGATATTACATAAGTTGTGTATTTCCATAGTATAAGCTAGTAGTGACATATGTTATTTAAAATATTAAATTATGTTTTAAAAATAAAAAAGTTAAATCCGACTTTTTCATTTTTTAAGATTTCCACAAATAAAAGTCTTAAAGCAGAAATAGCGGGTATAACATTGATTGACAGAACTGATTTTATAGACAAATAGGAAAATAACGGTCTAGAACCAACGCTATACCCGATGTATTTAGGCAACTTTGTGCCGGTGGTGGGAAATGCAACAGTATTCGATGTTGCACAAATGGGCAGGTAGCATTGCATGATGTATTGCATTTTGTTTGGAGATCTAACATTTCTCCGCTCTGCTTTTATGTTGTAAGGTACGTTATATACATCTAATTCACAGGGTTGCAGGGCGGACGGAATTCAATGATCAGCCTTGACCTTTTCGAAGAGAGCTTATTTTACGAGACCGCAGCGACCCTCCAGCATTGTCTACGTTGCGTGGCCTGTCATCGACTGGCCATAAACTGTCGACAGACGGATAGCGTTTGTCAACAATATAAAGTTGAGACCGTGAAAAAGGAGCAACGCCAACAAATAGGGGTTCATTCCTTTATTTCCCTTTTTCATGTGAAAATTTATAGGTGAAAATCTGAAAACGTTTCTTTTTGAGAGATATAAGAAATGTTACACCGGATTGAATTATAATAAAATAAATTTGTGTGTATACTTAAATACTTAAAAAAAATATACATATATGACCGCAGAGTTTCTTGTCGGTTCTTCTCTTGCAGGTCTAGTTTAGTGAACCGGTGGTAGTTTTTGACGTTCAATAAGAACTTAAAATAAGCCTATGTTGAATAAAGAAATTTTGACTTTTGACTTTTGATTTTTGAATTGCTCGAGCAATAACGTGACCCTGCAGTTCCTATTCAGTATATTATAATGATAATAATTACTTCTTTGAAATATTTGAGTTACAAAAAGTGTCAACAGTAATATTGTAACTGAAAGTCACTCGGGCATTTGTTTCAGCATCAGATGTAGGTAACAAGTATAATTCCAATACAGCACCAAGGTTGTCGCCTTTTCGGTACAGGTGAGCCATGTTTTATTGTACATATAAAAACCGTAACCCTTGTGCGTAGTGTACAACATCATGACTCGCTTTCTTTCACGTTTGGTACTAATTGCTTCATGAAACACAGATAGCATAATTACCGTATTAGAATAAAGAGGCTTTTTTATTTATATTAGTCATTATAAAATAGCCGTTAGGTTTAATGATTAAATGATAAATCATAGTTATATTTTAAAGCTTTTAAGGTAGAGGTAGTCAGTATTGACCGCGTTTTACCGTACTTCTCAGTACATCATAACTTATAAATATAACTATTATTTGTTGCTTTTTTAACATTAATCGTTGGTAATAAATATGTATAAATAGTGGGAGTTACAAGCTCTTGAGACTCAATACTATCGGTGGAGGATGCTGGTATAGGTGACAGACTAATAACTCTGAAAGATGCAATAACAAATTTTCGGTTCATTTATATGTATGAGTACATATACAATGTACAAAATTTGAGAAACATTATTTTTGTAATATTATAAAACTACAGATGATATTGCTACGGATTTGAATATTATGTATATCACCGATAAGACAATTGCCGAATATAACTGCTAAAAAAATACTTAATGCGAACGTACATTAAGCATTGATCTAAGACCAGCGGAAGCAGACGTCCGTGGTCGTATCGAAATTGTGTGCATTCGACTCACGGCTGCGGACTCGTCTAGACAAAGTCTCGAAAGAAACTGGAGATTAAAGACAGCGGGATGAATAGAACGAGCCTAGAGTTGCTGAAGAAAGAAAACGAAAAATGCCTTTACTTAGAAAGGCTTGTGCGCTGTCACGTACACTGTATTCTTATTTAATCTTTTTGCTGCGAGGGTTTTGTGTACGAGCCTTTGCCTCTTGCAAAATAATGTTGCGGAGCTACAAATAACGAATGTTTCGCGAATGAAATACGCAAGTAGCAAACGGATTTTTGTCTGAAATCGTTGACTACTCATAAAAGTGAAGCTTTAATTACAAACCAAATATGCGCGCGTATAAACACAACTCATGAATATCAAACACAGCTCATCGTAAAATTAAAACACCATAAATGTCCTTAGTGTCCAAATTATGAAATTTAAATTGTATTTGATGTAACAGCCATTAATATTATTATTATGGCTTTCCGACGCGAGAACCATAAACTTGAACAAACGAGGGAGGCGGGATACTTTTTACCACTCAGGCTACCATAAAAACGCAAGCCCTGAATTAGCTCGATTCTTTGTCACCCCTTTTGAACAACCCTAAAAATTCTACTACTACCGTCTTTGTCTAACAATAACCACTACATTCCCATCCGTTAAACTGCATCAAGGAAAAACAACGTAAAACCACCCGAGATGAAACGAGATAGAATAAAATATATGCACTAGTACAGACGACAGAGAAAGCGGTATATGTAGTAGTAGCCACGGTCGCACGTTTAATACTAAGAGCGACAGAGAGGAGGGTTACCCTCGTGTGTGAGCGAGAAAGGTACAATATTAACCATCAGAGGGGAGAGGAGCCGAGTTTCTTCAGGCGGGGTGGTTAGTCCACATTCGACCGCGCTGGAGGTAGCGTCGGCTCTCGGTAAACCTTTAAGCGGCCGATTGAAGTTGTGAAAACATTTTTTCTAGTGCGATATCGAAGTTAACACGATTCGTGATAATTTCCTTTAAAATTTTATTTTTATAAATACAACTTTTTTTTAAAATATTTACTTTGTATTTTCCGTTATAAGAATAGACTGAAAAATACCATAAATTATAATGTACTCCATGTTTAAAGATTTTCTATAACATTCGTGAATTTTCCTCTTTTGGTTTTATAATTAATTATTATGACAGACATCCTGCTGTCTACATTTCAATGCCGGTTATGATAGGCGAGAAACTTTAGTTAGGAATTGACTCTATCAATAGGAATACCAAAGAATATGTGTGCCAAAATGTTATTATATAGTTTTTCCTTGTTGCCTGTTCTTATATCATGGATTGGAGTGCATGCTGAAGAGGAAGTTTCATCTCCTTTACGCGTGGCACAATGTAGAGCTACATGTTTGCAAAAGGTAAAAATTACATATTGTTTGCAATTTTTTTCAATTGGCTTGAGCTTTATATGATGAATTTAAATCTTTCTCCACCCTTACACCAGTCACATTATTTATAATCATTAATTTATTATTTTACTTACTATTCCTTGCTTCCCTCTTCTTCCTCCTGAATATCAAGAGGCTTTTCAATTCCCTTTCAGTGTTCCTTATTTATAACACTCAGATATTATGTACAATGCGTTGTTATATTAATTTCGTTCATTTGTGCCCCAATCAATCACACTGAATCTACCCGTTAGGCCGTTGACGACCGCTTTATATCAAACTTGAACATTTAATTCGTCATGGACCTAATGAAGTATTCCGTAATATTAAAACATGACTTAACATAAAAGATGGTAACACATAAAAACCCTTAAGACTTATTCTTGCCATTGGTCTTATGTATCTCATAGGATAGGAGAAAATCTTTGGCAAAATTAATAAAATAATTGGCCTTTACCAACCTGGTTCCTACAAAGTATAATAAAAAATACAATTTCAATTAAGAGTTCGTTAACGTATTACATACATTGTTTTGGCATAGAGCAGAAGATTTAATAAAATATGATTTTTCCATTCTAATGCTAGTTTTTAGTTAAAATAATTTATTTGTATAATGTAAAGACAAACGTTGTAGAGCTTTAGTCAACGTATTTGCGGAACATCGTTGGGGTTACAACTTCAATTTATTTCATTAACTTGACCATTTATTGCCCGACGTCGCTAACGAACCACAACCGCTGTGATACAGTAATTTGGATTTATGCATGTCAAACTTGCCTGTATGTGTGTTTGAGTAAAATAGAAATTTTATACTTTTTGATTTTGTAAATATGTATACGGCTAGAGTCAATTTTACATAATATATAGAGTCAACAGTGCCAATGCCATAGGTTTTACGAGTATTCACTGATTGTTTTTGACAAAATCTGTAAAAAAAATACTCCTCTGTAAAAAAATCTTCAATTCATCAGATTTCATATTTCAACCTTGGTTTCGAAGTCAATCCATGCCTTTTACTTTACTATTTTTAAGCATGCTTAAACTTGACGTAAAAATTAGCAGAGCATAAATTATTTATGGTTACAGCATCGGAGTAACAGCCACGCAACTTATCCGAAGGCTATTGAATATGGCAACTATGAAAGCGAGGAGAGCTTTCTGCGAAGATCCAACCATCATTAGAATACACGTGAAATAGAAAGCAAAGTAAACATAGTCCTCATAACGAGGATTGCGACAAATAAATCTCAGCGTAGCTGTTGATTGTCTACTGACATAACGTTAGGAAATAAAAATGCCCAAGGTCTTTTTACTAATCTCCAAAAGACAGTGGGACGAATTCATTTAGTCCTATAATCTGTACGTATACCGTAAATGACACTTTCTTATGTGCTTAAATATATCGAGATTGACGAATACTCAATAATAATCGTGATCAACGATTTCTTCAGTCGTAATTTTTAACTAAAAAAAATTTTGCCCCTGTAAAGTAATTTTAAAGTGATTGAACAATTAAACTATACATCGAATTTTTAAAACTATAATGCACTCGAAGTTTGTATCATTCAATATTTACGGATAGAATTTATCTAAACAGGTTATGTTATTTATTTGAACCATTCCGAACAGGTTGGCCGCCGTTATCGCTATCGGGACTATGCGTCCATAAACGTAATTTGTATCGGCTATCCGCTTTAAATCGGAATAAACTTATTTGTTTCGACTCTGCGCGTCGATTAAGCAAGGATGTAATAAAATTTTATTGTTGGTTTCAATTTTTATTCCAATTTAAATTCGCATTTGAATAGAAATCAAATTAATCACTACTTGGGACTTATTTAAATGTGCCAGATATTATGAAAAAGATCCAACGGGTTTTCAACATGTAATAGATGGATAATAAATAAAAAAATATTATATTGATGTTAATATAAAACTGCGACTTCACGTGAAACCAAGAAAATGCGATATTATCATTCCCTTGCCGTATTTCGTAACTCCAAAATGGGGTTTTAACATTGCCTATGAAATTCTAAATCAATTGCTATAGATCAATATAAAATATGTAAACATTATTTATACCAAGAAGTTCATATATATATATATATATATATATATATATATATATATATTCCTTAACAATATATAAAAGTAAATTAAAAGCCTGTACAAGATCCACTGCTGGACAAACGCCACGCGTCCATGCGACCCCATTGCCGATTCATACATCATATATTTTTTGCAATTACTTTGAAACTAATCAGTTTCCTCACAAAGTTTTGCTCCACCGCTGATCACGTGATATTTCAGCACTTAAAAGCGACTATCTGATTGGTGCCGGTACTGGATTTTTTTTAATGTGAGAAAGTGGCAAGTGGGCTGGCAGTTCACCTAATGTTAAGTGATAACAACCCGCAGGGTTGCTGGTTGATGGTTTATCACCTTTTAATAAAGTGGGACGCGACTACCTTACTCACCAGATGAAACGCAGAATTATAACACTTCCATTTCACGCCGGTCTTCTGTGAGGTTTTGAATATATCAATCGGACGGACCTGCCCCTTTGTGGAATAGCGAAGACTGTTCTGTGGCTCTACCACAGCTATGGTCGCCCAATTTTTTTTGTTATTGTTGTCTTTTTATTTTAAATCTAAAGCAAGTGCGTGGACGCACTGGACGTGGCTCTCATTTTTCTGTTACCTGTAGATTTTGGTTAAATGAATATAAATTATATTTATCATAATAAAAATGTATAGCAATCATAATTAGTTTACTAAGAGGGAACTTTATATTAAGAGAAAACCTTATTCTAAGTGAAAAAAAGTTATATATTATAATGGAAGCAATGCCGCTACTAGTTAGAGATGGGATTATATATCCCATCTCTAACTAGTTTTTATTTAAAAAAAAAAACTATAATATGTTATAGTAACATAATTATGTGTGTAATAGTAACATAATAGTAACAAATAGTGTGGACGATTGCACTGGTAAAGGTTTTAACGTTCCTTTCTTAATTTCATAGTACCCATATCATGCATCAGCTAAACATTTCAAGAAATTGACATCTGCCGATAATCCCTGGAATTCGCTATAATCACGCGTCGTCCAATTTTTTGTGCGATCCTCCGCACTTAGCGGGCTCGTTTTTGTTAAATTCTACCTGCGACTAAGGCCTCGAACAATGCTTTGTAGGATCACTTTTTTACTTCACTCGGGGAAGGATGTGCGTGACGTTTCTTAGGGCGGAAGGATAGGTATTTAGTCTTTTGTCGGAATCGGGACACCAATTTACGATTACTCAAAAAGACGAACATTCTGTTACAGAATGCTAATTCTTTTAATTTTTTAGCTACCGCTAGGTAGCTGTGGAGAAAGAATTGTTTCCTCTAATGTTAGTGAATTTTTTTTTCAATGGTAAGCTAATTCATGGTTTTTTGCTATTAGAAATTTGCAACCAAACATCAGTTTGATTTTACACAGCAAAACTACAGACCGTTCAAAGTTATTTAAGGTGGGACCTTAACACAAAGATTTGACAAATTTTTGACGGGCACATTGTAACGCCGCCTTGCCTATGTCGCCAGCAACTATTTCTTCTATTGTATCTCATTGCAACGTGGTCCTTTTTAAACATCGTGTCATGTTTTTATATTTCTTCTTGAGCTTTTTTGTTGCTTTTTTGTTCGAAGCGTGCCTCCCTCGACGGCGAAGCAGACTTCGGAGACATGTGATGAATTTTAAAGTGTATCTAGTAAGTGGTAAGATACTCGTATGCTTATGAGTGCATAAGGATGTTAACATCACAGTTTGTGCCTTTAATTTACTATAACCAATATATTTTACGGTGGTAGGGCCATGCAGCAGCCTAGGCTGTTGCATGTTGCAGGCCCGTCCGAGTAAGTACCACGACCTCACAGAAGACCAGCGTTGATGACCAAGTGAGGTAGCCGGAGCCCAATTTTCAAAAGGTTGTCAACGGATCTGTAACCCTCGGGTGTGGCAGATGTCCGTGGGCGGCGGTATTCACTTAACATCAGGTGAACTGTCTCCTCGTTTGACAAATTATCGCATAAAAATAAATATAATATATCCCGTAACGATATTCTTGGTTACCAAAATATATTTAATTTATTTCGTCACAATGCTAGAAAAATCAGATTAATCATTTATATAGCCAAGAATTATATTTAAATCATTGGCAATAGGCAGGGACTTCGATAATTTATCTTTAAAACAACATTAAATGATTTGATTTTTAAAAAGAAATGTATTTATTGATTTCCCCGCGTTTTAACTTAATTTTGAATTTGAAATATTTGTAATGCATACAAAAAATTAGGCAAAATATTAAAAAATCAGATAAATTTAAGGATGTATCGTGTTGGCGAAACATAAGAAATAAATATGACGTATTTTTATTATATTACAGAATTTTTAAATCTCTTCTAGGAAACTTATTTATTTGTGAATATAAAATTATAAAGAAATCGAAACGAACAATACCCACCTTACCTTGGAAACTGAGCATTACAAAAAAAAAATAAGGAACAGCGAACCTTCGCTTCATCGCGAAATAAATTCTCGATTAGAAATTTAGGAACGTTCCGGTCGGACCCACACGGTCCCTTTTAAGTCCGCCATGTTGCGATCTAAGCGTTATTATTTCATCGCTGTTTAACCTACACGAGAGGCAGAGTAGAAACTCTGGTCCAAAAAAAAGCGCCCAAGGTTTCGGATACACGTCCTCGAGCCACGCAGCGCTTTAAAAAAACAAACGAGAAAGTCCAAGCCGAAATGACCTGCGTTTTTGTCCATGATTTGTTTTCGTTTTTGTTACGTTTGAGTTCATTTGGAAGTAGCCATGTCCGTTGCTTACTGAATTAACTTAAATTGCTTTAGGCTTTTTTCGTTTTGAATTTTCTGATCCGTCGTTCATTTTTGGTCCCAACGAATGGCTTTACGTGTAC